ATTAAAATGTGATTATTGTACTCAGCCAGTTTTAATAATTGACTTGTCAAATTAAAATTTCACCCCCAAAATAGTGACTGTGAAAATTTTTACACTTATATATATTTTTAATAGATACTTTGAAGTCTTTTCATAGAAACTTCCTTATTATCCACTGGTGTGGATTGTATCACATTACTATTCCAGTAATTGAGTGTGATTTATTTTACTGTGTTTTATTTCATTTTACTTTTTCACTATCTATCTAGATTTTAAATATTGAATTATGTTATCAGAGATCATTTTCTGAATTTATGTCAGTAAAACTGTTTTGGAAAGTCAAAATAGTGTTTTTTAAAATCTTTCTTCTTTTTGTTTTTATTATTTAGAAAGTTCTAATCAGATTAACAATGATGACTTATTGCTTTGCTTAGGTTAAGTCTCCTCCTCTTTCTCTTCCTGGTAATGTGACAAAACACACAAACAAACAAAGAAAAAAAAAAAGAAAAAAAACATTACAGTGACAACAAAACAGAGATTTATCATGAGGACTTTAATAAATATGAATCCACAAGTTTTGAACCACATAATACTTTAATCTCTGAGGCGCAGGAGATCCTGCCTTGAGGTTGAGAGAATTCCAGAAATTGAAAATGGCATCTCAGTTTCATACATAGTTCATGAGAAGCCTTTGGAATTAATGCAAAGGAGAACACACTGTATGCATACAGTCAAGTATGAAAAAAACGTTTGCCATGATTCTGAGTTTTATTTAACACATTGCTTTCCTGATGACTAAATAAGTGAAGTCCTTTGCTGGCTGGTAGACATTAATACTTATTTAGTGTTTTAATATTTTACTGTCACTAGAAGTAGTATTCTCTCATATTAAAAAACTGAAATATTAATGTGCATTCAGTAAGATCTGGCAGTTCACATTCTTCACTTCAGTGCTTCTGTCATGGAGAGAAACTTCAAATCTCTCTAACTGATGAAAACGACAATACCATTTAAAAGGATAAACTTAGGATAGAAGGTTTCTTTAATCAAAATTCTTCTAGTGGCATTCATCAGAATTTTTGACAGAATTAGGGACTGGAAGAAGGAACAAAATTTTTACTGAGAGATTTAGTAGTAAATTCTGTCCTTGTTTCACAAAAGATACTTCCTAAAGTTTCCAGAGAACAGCAACAGAAAATACTAGCATGCTTGGTGAAAGTTGCATGCTAGTTTATAATGTTCATAAGTCTAAAAATGGAAAAAGTTTCTGAAAGTCTCATTCCAATCTAAACAAACCAGGTAATGCATATACATTTTGATTAGTAAGCGCTACAGTGACATTTACTAATTCACTTTCACAAAGAAGACATAACCCAAGACTTGCTTACCTTCTGGCTATATAAAGACATTGCAGCAGTTCTGGCCAAGCCAACACACTCAGTCTTTCATGCAAACAATATATCTTTTACCTTCTAAGTAAGCTCAGCAGCCTGATCAATACAGAAGGAAATATGCCGTGGAAACATTAATTCTAAAACATTACCTCTCATTCCATGGCATATTCATATGAAGGTTAGCAAAGACCATTTTCAAGTCCTTCTACTTAAACTGAATGCTAGCTACAGAAGCTGTATCTGTACTAATATATTAAGTACGTATGGGACTGCTTGTTGACACTATAGCGAACTGACAAGGGCCACACCATATTCATATGTTGAAAATCTTGAGCACTGGCATCAGTTGGCAGGTGGTGAGAAATTACATTGTAAATCAATTAATTTGTAAATGTATGTATAAATATATGTACTATATATATATATACATATAATTATTATTACTCCTATTTCTCTCCTCTTCCATCTTAGCAACTAGTTTTTATGTCATCTACTTTTTTCAGATTCTCTCCCCACTTTCCACTGGGAGGGGTGAGCAATGAGTGAAAGGCTGTATGGTGCTAAGCTCTCTGCCAGGTTAAACCACAACAAGGACATTCATATGAAAACTGCTCATTAGAAAACATTCTTTCACCCATGAGAAGTCTAAACTAGTAGACTAGGAACTGCGTGGGTGAGTGCTAGGTGGGGTATTTGGTACAAAATCCATGGTGATCACGCAAGAATAGTTAAGAATAATATTCTTAATAGTCTTTTGATTGTATCCCTCAAATTGGGAATGTTCTGTGATATTTATTCCAAGTAAATGAGTAGCCTGAACAATTTGAACTTAAACAAAGAAGATGGAACTAAACCCATTCAAGATACACTGAGTGATAACATTCCACTGCAAATTGAATGAGTATCTTCCTGGATTTATCTCTGCCCAGTGACATATGATTATCTCTATTGAAGGAGAAGCACAGAACAATGCTATCTTCCCAATATTTCCCAATGTTTCCCAATATTTAAAAGAATGACATGAACTCAGTAGCTCTTATGGAAGAATAGTAAACGTAAAAAAGGGAAAACTGCACTAGAAGAGTCCAGGTTTCTTTTCTCCACATTTTTAATCGGGCTTCTGAAGTTATCATGCTATATATCAATATCTGTGAATTTAGGCTTCAATTTTAGCATCCAAATTATTCTCCAAGGAAATGAATTTATAATAAAAGTAGAACGTGAGGTATGATAGAAGGGAAGAAGTTTGGAAGTGATCACAAAGTAACAATCTAAATTTTTTAAAGTTGCCTCTGCTTGGGTAATAACCATGCAGAAAATCTGTCCTGTACAAATGCACCTGGACACTTTTTGATGCTGGCAGAAAAGCTGAACAAAGACTAAAGTCATTACAGAGGTTCAGTGTAGTAATAGTAATGGGAAGCTGTTTTTCCTGGTTTTACTTGCTTGAATATTTAGTGAAACAATGGATAAGTACGATATAATCTGCTGCAGAAAGCTTGAAGATGATGCATGTTAACATGCTGATGGAAGTTGTAATTTCATTGCAGTGATTTTTTCAACAGTAAAAAAAAAACACAAAAAAACCTGTTTAAAACACTTCATTATTTTATGAATGTGATCATGCTTACAGACCATAAAATAATAACTGAATATAAATAACGAGGTAAACACATCAGTAATATTTTTAGATCACTTAACCAGCAATTATCCCTATGCTGGATAATCCTATATTAAAACAGACTGAGAATGGAGGATCTACAGACAGTCTGAAGAACTAAATGATAAGAAAGAACAGCGTCTTTGCAATCTTTCCTGCACCAGGAAGTTCCTGGTTCAGTTTTTACAGTTTGATGGCCTGCATTCTGGCTGACTGGGCAAGCCCTACTTTCATGTAACAAACTTCTGCTACACAGGTGAAAAAAAAAATAAAATAAATCCTTACATTAGTACACACAAATGGGATAAAGAACAAGAGGAAAAAAGAAAAAATGGCTAAAAACGAGTGAATTAGAAGAGTATCAACAAAGTAAGACAGTAGAAAGAAGGAACAGAAGAAAGACTTCTGAATTAGAAAAAAGTACACATCACAGGTGCAAAGAGAATAGTAAAATCTTAGGATAAAGTTACAAGGAGTTGTCCTTGTAAGCTCCTACAGGCTTAAATCTTAAGAGAAGGTGCTAGGGGCTTATTGTTTTCCATACTGAAGTCCTGAAGTAAACAGACTACCATTAAAATAAAAAAAGCATATGCCACTAACAACATATTTCATTAGTCACTAAAAGTAACTGTGTTGTAAGCACACTGGCTCATATTACTCGTGAGTGCAATGCTTTCACAGAGTGAACAGCTGCTTCTGTTAATTTTATTCCTACTTGAGTCAATGTTTGCACACACTTGGTAGTTAATCACAGTCATCCTCTGTCCAAACTAGTTGTATAAGAACATCTTTGCCTTTTCTATTTCTGTTTGCTAACAGTGGTTTTTTACTCAGATTAAAAATGTGGTTTCTTATTTTTGAAGTCTCTGATGTAAAAAGCTTCCATATTTTTCTGAGTTGTTCCATCTGTAATCTACCTCCTAAAGGAATAGAGTTCACCTACATGACCTACAAAAACTAGAAAATGTACATGTATGTCAGTACAAGGTCTTCCCAAAGGGACACACTTCTTTAAAATATTTTTTTCATATCTCTTGATATTGGACTCTGCCTGGATGAAAAGTAAAATCCAAATCCTCACACAAAAAAACCAAAAAATTTAACCTAGTAAAAACAACATGGCAAAGCACTTCAGATGAATGGAAAGAGAATTTTTCGTCTCTTTTTTCCTTCTCTCTCCCTCATGTTTTAGATTTAGAAATACTGAATATCTGGAAGATTGTTTTTCAATGTTTTAAAAAGAGAGAGTATGTTTTAATTCTGAACAAAATCAGAAAAAATAAATAAATACAATGCACTGAAATGGATCTATTCAATTTGCTACTTATCGATTTAGCTTTCAAAACATTTAATTAGCTCTCCCATTTCCTATAATTAGAGTAAACTGAAACAATTAGAAAAAGGACAAACATTTTTAGAATGGTATTACATATTTTAATGACTTTGCTGTCTGCCTTAGTGCAATCTTAGATTTAGCAGAGGGCTGTTAGAGTTAGGGTAGTATGGTTATGTTGTGGTTGGACTCGATGATCTTTAAGGTCTTTTCCAACCTGAGTGATTCGATGATTCTGTGATCTTACATTGCAACTGTGAGTTGCTTCAACACATTAGAAAGTAATAGAACTGATCTGTATTTCTTTTAACTCCTCAATTAGAAAAAGAAATGTTCTAATGATTGAATGTGCAAGTAAAGCAAAGCCATAAAACTCTTTTTTAGTAAAAAACACATACTACATGATGGAGAAATAAAACAGTTTCCGAGTTAAAAATCAGTTCAATCAATTCTTCTAAATTTATCTAATTAAGCAGTATATAATAATTTCAGGACTTATAATATTGATTCATAGGGACAAGATCTGATGTCTTTCTGCAACGCAGTCACAAGGAATTTCTAGTTCCAGTGTAATCCTCTGGCTTCTCGACTGCTCTGACAAAATGGTAATTTATTTTATACTTTTTCATCATACCTTGAAAATTTTGCACATTATCTCATAGACTGAAAATGTTTTCTCAGCTCGTGTCCAATCCCAGGTTGTGACCTTGGAAGAAAAAAATAGAAAAAAGAAAAAACAGGAAAAGAAACCAAGTTATTATTCTTCATTTCAGTAGTTCAGTTTATTAAAAAAATAAAATAAAAATCGATCCCTAAAACTTTCTACCTTTTACATCCATTATAATGTACACAGAAAGGGCAAGCACTACCTCAGAGCACAAACTACCATGGATCAGCGCTGAAAAGGCGTCTGTCTCCTTGCACTTTCAATAGCTTTTCATGCAGGCTAATCTACGTTGAATGAACAGGTTTTCCCTGGGAGTCTCCTATCTATGCTGGTGGGGGTTGATACAGCCCTTTAAATGTTCTCACAGAACCCTAACATGTTTCTCCTTGTTTCTGTTCTTATAACAGAATTTCTTGTTATACATACATTGTTTGCAGAGGTCCTAAAACTGAAGTTTCCAACCTTGCAGTGTCCTAGACACTTATCACATGTGACTTGCAATCTAGGTGAAAAAACTAACAAGAGAAAACAAAGGTAAATATACACTTTTTTTCTTACCAGTGTGAATCTGCTCTTAAATTCAAACAGAGTGAGATTTGAATAACAGTCTGTTTCTTCACATTATCTCACAATTTTTGCAATTGCTTTTAACAGTATTTATTTTAAGCAATTATTTTTTAAAAAGCCTATAAATAACTTTTTTAGGAAGCTGCAAGAAGGAAAGAGGAGAATTAGTCACAGTCTCAAAAGACGGAATACAAAACAAACAATCAAAAAAAAAAAAAAGAGAAAAGAAAAACTGAGGCCTACAAGAATTACTGCAGTGCCTCAGCTTCAAAGGATCATGGTTATTACACAACTAGGCAAGACGAAAGAGTTGAAGACGTAGTATAGTCCGCTTTTCAAAACTTAAGAATATAAAAATTTTTGAAAAATATCATCAAATTATAGCCACAGCATAAAAGGAAGATAATACATAAGACCAACTTATTTTTTATATAAAGAGAAAACTATGAATAGACCCCATATTGCTAAGAAGCATGTATGGGCTTGGATGCTGTGACGTATTACTTTCTTGTTCAAAGTAATTTTGGTACCGTATGATAAAATTCTATACTTAACTAATTTTTAGGGATACAGACTATTAGAATTTAAACTCTTTCAAGGAAAATCTTCATAGTTCATATACTCATATGCATATATATATAGTTCATAGTTCATATCTTCAAGAATTAAAATTTCAAAATGGAATCTTATTTATTTGCTGTCATCCTCAAACTCAGTTTTTTACCATCTTATTGAAGTATGGGTATTAAATCAGATTTAGAAGGAAGAAAGAGACTAAATACTATGGATCAATAAATAATGCTTCATATAAAATGAGGAAGTGAAGAAATATTGGAAATATACAATCTTTGTCAATGAATTTTGAGAAACTATTCTGAGATGTGACAAAAAAATGCAAAACGTTTTTGTCAAAAACAAACCACCAACAACAAAAAAACAAATGTAACACACAAAAACAAAAAACAAACCAAAAAAAAACACACCAAACAACTAATCTGTTTCTAATTCAGACAGAAAATGAAATGATCTCTCACAAGGAACGGAGGAATGGGGAGTTGAGTTTTGCTACAGTTCCACTGAACACAAAGCACTAGCCAGAGAAGTATCATTTTGCCCTGTCCCATCAGGAAAAGTAACCTCTACTCCTGCTGAAGGCCACAGCTACTTGAAGTTTCATTTAGAAGTTCATTACAGGCTCCATGCTTTGGGGAAAACACATGAGAGCTCCCCCTTCTTCATAAAATTTCTGACAGCATCTTTAGAAATTGCCTGTCCTGATCACCAGTGTGCCAAGAAATCTTTGAAAGGTAATTAAGTTTTAAGATGCAAATAAGATATGTTAGAACTGATCATGCACCTGAGCACGGAGAGGCAAAGTGCTATTGATCAAATAGATAAAAAAATATAGCAGGGGGAGGCAGCTGAGGTACACTATTTAAACACATGCCTCCCTCAGGAGTTAACAGGACAATAGTTTCTTTTAATTTTCTGGTTAAAATGTTGGCAGATCTGTTCAGAAACAGCTTAATCCAAGAAGCTTATAATACAAATATAATTAAAATTGTTTTTCTTCCTATAACAACATTTACATGTTACATAATTAGAAGCTCCAAAATTGTAGCCTTGAAAGTTTATTCTTAATCTTTTTTAATTCCTGGAAGAGATGAATGTACATGCCCACAGCAAACAGCAAACAATTGTACGTGTAAAAGTTTGCACAGAGAATGTCCTTCTAAAAAGCCTTAAGCAGTCTTTGAGAAGAAGAAAATTTTTCTGGGCATTTAAGTGTACAAGTATTATACAAATGGTTTTAAGCACCTCTACAGAAACTCTTCCCCAGTTTGTCTTTTAAAGAGTTTGTTTATCATTATTCTTCCCTCCTACTCAATGGAAAGAAATTGTGTTCTTTTTGTTTCAACTGTCCTCCTATTTTAGAATAAGAACCAGAATCTGTTATATTTTTAATAATTAAATTCTGTTTTGCCCACAGCTTATCTGAAACAAGGCCCTAATAAAGACTTTGAAATCAGCCTTGTCTCATAAAGCAGCAGCTTGACAGAACTGTCCTAACTCACAGCACTGTGGTTCACATTCCTACTATAAATAGTTTCTTCCCATAGTCATTTACCCACAAGCAACATATTACTTCTGGAAACTAATAGTAAAAATGATATTGTATATAAATAGAAATAATATAACAGCAAACTCTTGGTAAAGAAATTTGTAGTTTCTTCCACGCTGCTTACAAAAGAATAATCTTTTTCTTTTGAACAGAACAGGAGCATTCAGCATTGTATCTGGGAGGAAGATAGAATTGTGAATGAAGAATGGCGTGGACACTTGCCATCTAAATTTGAACTACCTCCAACAGGAAGGATCTACAGCCCAAATCAGGATAACTGCTAAACTCTTAGTACTGCCTGTATGGGTCTGCTGCCAAATCTTTAGCTACTGGCTTAAAACTTAGCTAGATGATATGTGTGTTTCCTGCAGCTTAGATGTACCATAAAGCCATGAAATTAAACTGCTGATTTGGAGACAGTAGCTGAAATTTTGCCCTTTCCTGTCAGTCAGATTCCAATTAATATTCAACCTGAACTGCCTCATTTGCTTCCCTACTTTCCTTTTGGTGCTCTCAAACTACACAGAAGTTATATTCAGGGTAAAAATTAAAGACAGAGATATTGCTCTACAAGCTGTGCCATTTCCACAGCCTGCAAAAAGCTTTGGTATTACCCAAAGTCTCATCAGTTTGCATTCAGAATGACAGTTCAGTTTAAATGTAACCAACTTGCTTCTGGCTTGTTTTGCTTGCCAAAGGGAAATGAAAAGCCCCCTTTTAGTACAAATAGCTCTCTCCTGTATTGTTCTAAGTGTTCAGGTGACCGAGGGGAAAGAAGTATTTGTTAGCTGCACAGTAATCTGATGAACAGTTATTTTCTGTTACTTTTATAATACATTTCTCTGGAACTTTTCAGTGCTCTGAGTTACAATGCCGTTAACAAAATGAGCGCTCAGTGTAAAAGCCTGGTACATATTACATGAAATCATTTTATTTAATAGCATTTATGTCCACACAGCATGAGAAATGTACTTACTGGAGGTGCCATAAATTTATACAGAGAAGATCCCCTCAGTGCTAAAAACTTTGGTGTATACATTCGATCCTGAAGGGAGTCTTGTTCCCGTTCTTCCGTCCAGCCCATGTAGACTATCTGACAAAAAAAATCAATAGTGTTGACAAATTCCTCAGGCAATTTCTTCAAATCAATTGCAAATACTTCATGCAAGAAAGCTGATGTCTGTCAAATCTTACAGAACTACAAACCTTGAACCACTGACACAATGTGATACACTGGCAGTTTACTTATAATCACATGAATGCGTAAAGCAAGCCTGTTACAACAATCAAAATATAAGAGAAAATGCCTTTATTGCCCTAGCAACAACAAAAGAGCTAAGCCACATACCTAACAGGTGTCTATTTTTTTTTTATTATTATCTCATTAAAAGTTCTCTAAAGGAATTCTAAATATTTGCAGACAAATCACATCAGAAAAATATGATGCAAGTGAAGTATAGAGAGCCAGTAGGCAGAAATACAAAATCAAGAAGTATTCAGATACATGACCAACAGATAGATGAATACATGGCAACTTAATGCAATATGGAAAAAATAAAGACATTCTGGAGCATATTTTGTACTTGCACATATTCAGAAATTAGTTATAAACATTTCCAGATAACTGCATAATTGAAAAAAAACCCTATACTATTTAATTCAAATAACATTTCAATCTCAGAGTAAGGATTTAGAAAGGAATGCTGCAAAGTTTTTAAAGGTTAGTTGCTTTTTTTTTTACTTCAGATCACATGGCACGTTTATAAATATTTCTCCAACTACCTCTGATTTGGTGATCAAAGAAGTTTATAATGTTCAAAGAAAAGATATAGCCATACCCCAATACTCAAGAATTAAGCAGTACTCAACACTATATTGTCATGCAATAATTGAAAAACCATGCTCTCTAAAATCCCTTTCATTCCTGAATGAAAAATACTCAAGAATACAGTCCAATAGGTACAGTGAGAGAAGCTTTAAATTATTTCAGTTCAACGGTTACTCATATTCTCCTAATTTCTCCTGTTTTGTTTGTTATTCAGTGCAATGAAGATAGGTAGCTCCATTCCTCTGACTTGATAGGAATCTGTGCAGCTTATTGACTGACAGAAGCTACACATGGGAGTGAAATTAATATAAGTGTACTATTACTTAGAGAAGTATGATATATTTTTCCTCTGTAATGAAAAGAGAATGAATGATCTCTGATTTCTAGGCATTAAGACAACTTTATTTTTTAATTAATTAATTCTGTGCCACCTTTGATTTGTTTCATTAGAATTGGATATAGTAAGATGTAATCTTGTCTGATGAGATTTCATATCACTTTTTCACAGTGTGTGATCTATGTTTATTTAGGTTGTTTTCTTTTTCACATTTCTCACTTAATCTAAGTTTCTATTTCTCCTATATCAAAATAACAGGGCATAGTCATGCATGATGTGCAGATGCACTGATATTTCACATTTGATTGCCTTAATACTAAAGCAGCCATGAAATTTAAAGCAATTGCTCCTGTTGGCATTGCTCCCTTGCCTCCATAGATCACAAGGAGAAATTTGATTGATTTTTCAGACAACCGGATACACTAAGGTTTTATTAACAAAACACATTTCTCTTTCAGGCTAGATGTGTACTCTTAGACACCCAGCAGAACTCTTAAACAAAGGCTGTATGACTGTAATTAGCAAAAGTTACATAGTTGTGTAAATGCACAAGTGTATTCACATGTGTGGATTAAAATAACATTGGATAGATTCTGGAAAATGGAAAAAAAAGACTTGATTACTATTTTAACTGCATCCTCCTACAATGGCCTCAGTTTATCTAAATAAACTGAACACGTGATGCTAAATTGTGGTAGTTTTTACATAATTGAGGTGAGAAGCTGTTGAAATGTTTTCCCTTGTGGAATAAAATTGAGGCCACTTGCTTAAAGCATTTATGTTACTAATAAACATTCTGACTTCCAAAAATGTTTTGACTATTAATAACTTCAAAAAAACTACTCATTTGGAAAGGGATCAGAACATTTCAAACTAATGGCTCATATATATATATACACACACTAACATTTTGGATGAATATGAAATTTGACTTGAAAAGCTGAATTTAATAAGATTCTATCTAAAAAGAAATGCTTATTACTGTGGATACAGGATGTATATGGAACCAGAAATAGTGCACAGAATCCCCATTTTACACATTTAAAAATGAGGGTAATTTTTTTACTCACAGAAATGTTTTTGTATAAACTGCTGACCACTATCAACAATAGTAAGAAAATAAATATAGTAAGAAAATAGTAAGAAAACAATACATTTTATTTGTGATAACATTCCCGTTTATTTATGTATTTATTTATTTCCCCAGTCCTGGCAGTTTCTAACTTAACCACAGCAGCTCATTCTTCAAAATCAAATGGTGACACAAACCAGTTAATTTAGTGGCTGCTGGCTTACTAATAAAGATTCAGTAAGTTATTACTGTTTGTGAGCTGAATCATGTTCAGTTGAAAGAAGCTGTATTTCTATGAAAAATGAAACAGCATGCTCTCTTCAATCAAAAATTCATAATCTCCCAGTCATTCTTTACCTCACATAGATATTCCAGGCAAGAAGAAAGTAAACTGCTAATTACTGTATTTCTTATCTATTCAAAATACTGCTTAAATTTCTTAATTAGCTACTTCTCCAGAGTTTTAACAAAGTCTTTACCATTTTTTAGGAAGGATGGTAAAATAAAAATAGTATAAATAAGATAAAATAAAATTTCTTAGAAACAAAGTGTGAAATTTATGCTATTTTTAATGTGAGGCCATTCAAAGATTAGAACAGATGCACTGACAGCTTCCTATCATGGAAGTCTCATATTTATACTCATACAGCTGTTTTAGTATACTTTTTCCTGTATGGTAATTTCAAAATTCCTTATAGGAAATTGTTATTAGTTTAAAAAAAGTCCATTTTTTTTTCTATAAAGATAAATAAATATTCTGCAAATGAAAGGCACAGTATACATCTTGCTAAGTCTATGCATTTATTAAATATGTCTACTTTGTAGCATTATGGCAAAGAAAATGTGTATCAAAGCATCCTGGATGTCTTTTAGTAGTTAAAAAAATATAGAAAAGTTTGAATTATTTCCCCCTGTGTGTGATGTTATGAACTCTTCATTTGTAAGAATATCCAGAACTTGACTGGGCAAAGTCCTGACCAACATGACTTATGCTGACCCTTCCTGGAACAGGGTTTTGACCAAGTAACCTACAATAAGTCATCCAACATAAATCTGTCTATGATTCAGAATCCTTAGTATCAAAGCAGTCATATGTGTCTTGGGATCTGTTTCACAGCAGTCACAGTTTACTACTCTTAGCATCCAACTTCAGCGTGACTTTTTTTAACAGTGTCATGGTACTTCCATGGTAAACAGGATACTGCGTACTAATATATACAACCTACATTCTTATACTCTCTTATATAAAAGTCTTCCTAAATTAATTACTCAGAAAGTAAGAGAAGTGAGAACAATGTGCAACTACTTCAAATATTAACTTACAAACAATGAATCCAAGTATGTCTAGATTGAGAAAGAGAAACACAACACAGCATCATTCTGAGACAGCAAGGTATAGGGAAACTACTTTTAAAATCCTTTCTCCTGGAGTTGAGAAAACCTTCGAGATGATTAGATGAAGAACATGATATTCAGTAGATTCTGCATGCTACTGTTTTCATGCTTCTATCTAGACCTTAATTTTTATCATTGATTTGGTTCTTAAACCTGGTTTTGCTGTGTTAGAATAAAGCTTATTTTCATTTGCCTTACTTTTAAAGTGAACCTGAAGAATCATTCACAGGTTATATGCCCGTGGCCTCTGGCAGGGAATTAGTAATAAAGTTCACAAGACTTACTGAACTCACATTGCACTTAATTATTTTTCTACGATAAATTGATACCTGTCAATATGTTATTTTATCTCTGCCATATCTCAGTATTTCCATGAATGTTGAGTTTTGAAAAACTCCTTTAAGGAGTGCTGACTAACAATCATTTTGCAATATCACTACTCTCTTAATTCCATTCTGTCAATGAGAAGCATTCCACCATTATGAATAACATGGAAGAATAAATCTCGTAAAGGTTTTATCTTTTCCAAAATTAAGATAGCTGTGTTGATCCTACATGAAGCTCCAAATTCAGTAACAGACTCAGAGGCTCAGTATCCACAGAGAGCTCTGCATTGTGACAGACAGTCTCTTAGGAGGACAATGTAAAAAATCAGCCATTTTTGTGGCTGCAGAAGAGATCTTTATGAAAAATTTCAAGCCCTGTGAAAAGTGTAAAGTTACCGACAGGAACTATCAAACAATTTATAGACTTGTAAATAACAGCCAAAAGTTTTTCCTCTCACAGAGCTCACTTCTATTTCAGGATCTTTCTGCACATTTTCAGGGGTTCAGACCCTTTTTTGCATGATGTCCTCTCCCATTGTCTTGGATAGTTTTTGAATTGCAGACCAGCTTGAGCAGGAGACGTAAAAGAGACTGCCATACTATCTAATCTATTGGCATTAGGGCAGGCTTGTAGGAATAATAAGTTGGAATAATGAGTGACTAGTGTGGCTATGAAGCAAGTACCACAAACACTGGGTTGTTAAAAAGTTATGGAAAGCAGCATGACTTCTCAATGTATACTTGAAATAAAGCAGCTAGAAATTGAGTATCACACTATTCTGATTCTGCTGGACTTCAGAAGTACTCTGGGAATATCAGTTGGATAAAGTGCATATGGACACTCAGCCACTTATATGCCACCAGAGCCATCAGCCAGAGACTTGAGAGAAGCTAGATGCCTGTCTGGAATTTGTCTGAAAGTTCCCAGACTCAACATTACCTATCTGCTGCTTCAGACATGCACAATTTTCCTTATGATTCTATGTAAGTAAAGATGCACATTTTTGGTTCTAAACTTTGCATCTCTTAGAGAAATTCCAACAAGAAAAATTATTTATAACAAATAAATAAATAAATGTTTTTGTCATTAGCTTCTGAGAAGAGCATATTTACTGCTATTAAGTTGCTGTTCGCT